GGACCGAGACCGTGCGGCGCCGGGGAGGGGGCCGGGTCGGCCGCGGGGGGCCAGGGGCACTGCCGCCTGCTAACTCCCTCTTGGAAACCTATGGGGAAAGGGTCAGGAAGGGAGGAGGCAGCACAATTCTAGGATTGGAAGGAACATTTTGCTGTCGACTGAAATCAGATATTTCTTTCCGGATTCCACGCACGGGGAGGCTGGGCGGGGAGGCAGCAGGACGACGCTGGGTGGTGCAGAGGACGGGGCCGTGGACTGAAAGCCGCCAGACCCGGGTTCTATTGTCAGCCTTTCCCCATTGACTGACCGTGTCAGCTGGGCAAGCTATGAAATCCCTGGGCCTCCTTTTCCTCACATAAACACCGGCTGGCTGGGAGGATCAAATGCGTTAGTACTGGTAAAGCTCTTTAAGCACTATTATTGCTCCAGCTCTGCCACCAACGCTTGGCAGCGGGTGAGGACATCCGACGAGTCTCTCGATGTTTCTGGCCTCAATTTACCCAAAGACCTCATAGCTGGGAAGTAGGGAGGCGATTATCTGACTCTGACCAGACTTAGCGCTGGGCTGTCCAATACCTGGAGTGGTTTGGCCATGTGGTCACCACAGCCTGGGTTATAAGGGTGAAGTCTGCCTAAAGATGGTCTTCTGCTACCCTGTCCCAGGCTGGGAAGCATGGTGCCGCCCCTGTATTCCCTGGCAGGGGAGAAGGACCAGCACCCTGGTGGAGGCTGGCACCAACTCACCTTCATACCCAATAGATGTTCCCCTCAGGTGTTTGATGTTACAGAGATTCTGCAGCCCAATGGCCCAGGCCCTGGAATGGAGGAGGGGGGGAGACACTTAGAAAATTTACTGAGGGCCCAGTACTGTGTTCATTAACTCACTAATCCCTGCCACAGCCCAATGAGGTAGGGACTGTCACTGACCCATTTAGATGAGGAAGCTGGGAGTTCTGACAAGTTAACTGACTTGCCTGCATGAATGGGAAAAACCGAAACTCCTGAACCTACTAGAAAGGGGCAGGCTCGTGAGGTCAACCACCCAATCAGAGGGTGGGGCTAACGAGGCACTTTACTTGCATTATCTCACTTGTCCCTGAGGCTATTATTATTAGCTGTCTTACCCATCTGGAAACCAAGGCTGGAGAGGTTAAGGAGATCCCTCGTGAATGCCCACCGTCCAGTCTGAGAGCAGAGCCTCTGCCTTTTCGCCTTGCCTCAGCTCTGCGTGGGCTGAGTCAGGGTCAGTCCACGACCCCTGACCGCTGAGAGCTGGGAACATGGGGACATGGCACAGAGCAGAGCCTCCACACATAAAGCAGAAGGCCCGCTGTTACCACCTTTCATCATAGGCCTCAGTTTCCTTCTCTCTCAAATGGGAGAGTTAAAATGAATTATTTCTAATTTGGTTCCAACTCAAGAGAGTCTCTACTGTAGTCTTCACTCTGAGGCCTTGAATTGGTTTCCAGAACTCTGGGGCCCAAATTAAAGGTTGATGTTCCCATTGTGAGCTTGGAGCTTCATCTGGCCAGTGGGGAAATGTTTGGGAGCCCCATAGCCTTCCATCCTTATCCACTATTCCCAAGGGCTATTGTTCAGAACAGGCCCATGGGTCCTAACAACATGGAGTGAGTATCACTCTGTCAAAGGAAATGAACACCAGAGCTGTGGTTGTGCCTCAGTTTCTGCAAAGAAATGCAGCAGGGAAACAGAGAGAGCAAAGCATTTCCAAGATCCCATGTGATGCTGATGGAGAGACATCTGGCCTCTTCCAGGCTGTCCCGCCTTCCTGCGCTTGTTCCTGGGTGTATATGGGAGTGGGAAGAGGGCAGTAAGGGGGAGAAGCCAGCAGTGGGGGACGCTGGGGGAGTTCAGCCCAAAGTGCCATGGCATCTTCGAGGAGTTTTACTCACCCAGATGTGTGACAAGCATGCACCCCAAGTGAAATCAGGCTGGATGTGCAGGCTGGCAGAAGCCAGGCCACCTCACTGCACAGGTGGATGAGAAGGATTTCATTTTCATTTCAAAGAAACAAATTGCCTTTTTAATTTAGGCCATTAACTCTGCTCTGCAGTTAAACTACAGTGACTGGGCTGCTTTTATAACTGTCCTGTTTCCTTTCAAAAGATAAAAGCTGACAGCTAGTTTGGCAGCATTGAGTGGTAGGTCATGAACTTGAGGGGGCCAGATTTGTAGGAAGGAAGACATGCCTCATTTCATGAGGTCCTGCCATGGGTCTGTTGGCCAGAAGCTTGGAGTCTTTCCCTCCTTCTTTTCCCATCTGTACGCTAACATCGAAGGTCAAAAACACCTGCTGAACACCTGGGGAAGGAAGTGATTTGTAAGGACACAAAGTCACAGTTGCCCTTTTCAGACACCTGCTTTGGGAGCCCAAACTCACATCTCCGTGTTCTGGTCACACCCTTGTCTGTCCCCACAGGCTTCTCTATCTGAGATGTGGGAAGAAATCTGGACGGGACCAGTCGGCGCTGTGTGCCGCGTGCTGCCTCCTGACCAGCCTGTGTGACACAGTTGGGGCGATTCTGGCCAAACAGCTCACAATACAGGTGTGTTGGACCCACAGGTGACAGTGGCAGGCGAGGCCCATGTTCGCCCCAGGGACTGTGTTCAGGCTGGTCTTTCTGCTTCTCCAGTATCCTCCTGGCTCACTGCTTGCCTCCTTCAAGTCTTTGCTCAAAAGTCATCTCAGAGCAGGGAGGGTAGAGCTCAGTGTTAGAGCGCGTGCTTAGCATGCATGAGGTCCTGGGTTCAATCCCCAGCACCTCCATTAAAATAAATAAATAAAAACCTAATCCCCCAACCCCACAGAAGACTTTTTTTTAAAGCCACCTCAATAAGATCTCCCCTGATCTCCTATGTAAAACTGTGCCCTACCCCTAGGCACTCCAGACCCCCTGTCTTGCTCTGTCTGTTTTCCCCCTAATACACCATCTACTTCACTATGTTTATCCCTTACTGTATGTTAATCCCTACTAGAATGTCAGCTCCTTAAGGGCAAAGGTTTTGGGTCTTTTTATACAAATCAACTTACATTTATTCCCTTGTGGTCAATTGAAACCTACACCCCGGTAGACGTGATGTGCTTTCCCATGTACGCATCTGTAACCTCTGACAACTAATTAACAGAGGATACAAAACTGCCAGGTATCACGGAAGACGGTGACTTCACTCCCTGCAGCCAGCTGTGCTGTGATACCTTCGCTTGGTGCTGACAGCCTCCTCTTCCCTCCTCTCATTCCGACACAATGCCTTCAGGCCTGTCTAAGTAATGTAATTTACTGCAGTGGGATTCCCCTGATAGCCTGTGCAGCACCTGATGACAGGAGTATTCATACTCCCCAGTGTTGTGGCCTGACACCGATCTATCAGCCCAAAGGCTTTTATTCACTACCGTTTCCCATCCCTCCAAACAGCAGCTGACACACAGAGGGCGTTCAGAAAGAAGGGACTGCTGCTGTTACTGTGTGTAGAGCCCAGCTCATGCAGGTGTGTCTGGATCTCTTCCCAGGTGGTAACATGGGCTTTGGAGCAAGTGAGAAGCCATTTTAAGTTTTTCCAAAGTCAAGGCCCTCAAATAAATCTGTGTAGAATATCCCATACGAGAACATATCCCAAGGAGAACCCGTGGGCCCGAGGCCACGGGGCTGGTCCTGGCCTGTGCCACCCGAAGAGACACGAAGGGGGGCAGCCTAGTGTTGGACACAGATTTGGAGAGTTCTAGACCCTGCTTTGAGCATCATCCTATCAGAAACAAATCACCTTTCGTTTTGGAAGCCCATTCTCAATAGCTGATAGAATATAACTAAGCTCAGCTCAAGTCCAATAGTCATAGCTGGTGTTTATTAAGTATTTAACTATGTACTTGGCCCTCAGGGCTTTTTATGTATTAATTCAGTTAATCCTCAAATCATGGGCACTCTCATTATCCCTGTTTCACACACATGGAAACTGAGGCATAGAGAAGTTAAATAACCTCTCTAGAGTCACCCTCTAGTAAGTAGCAGTGTCAGGATTCAAACTCCAGAACGCGTGCTCTTAAGCACTAACTATAATGGACCTTTGAACAACATGCGTTTGAACTGTGTGGGTCCACTTAGACGGATTTTTTTCCTACAAATACGCACTGCAGCACTATGCGATCCTTGATTGGGTGAATCCAGGGATGTGGAACCTCGGATACAGAGGGCTGACTATAAAGTTATCCACAGAATTTTGACTGCAAAGGAGTCGGCACCCCATGCCCTGTGTTGTTCAAGAGTCCACTATACTGTCAGTGACTAGTGCATTTGTAGATGGTTCATTTTACTTCCCCCTCACCCCCAGTCCCTCATCAAAGCACTTCCCATGTGTCAGCTCATGTAATCTACTCAGCAGTGTGGTAGGCACTGTTATTATCCCTGTTTTACAGATGAGGAAACTGAGGCCCGGGTAAGTCCAGTGGCTGGGCCCAAGTTGCACAGCAGCGGCTATGCTGCACAGTGGAAAATGTGGCGGGCTGTGTTTTTGTCCCATCTCTGTGATAACCGTCTGCATGATGGGATTGATCACTTAAGCACCCCATCTCCTTGTCAGTCAAAGGGAGAAGATAACCCACCCTCTGTTGGGGTGGGAGGTGCCCCTGGGAGCCCTACGTCAGGGGAACACGTGGTGAAGGAGATAGAAAATGAGAAGTGCTACAGTTGCTGAAAGATGTTTGAACACCCAGAGTCTATTTCCTTTGCTCCCAGGTCTTCACTGGTGCCTACCTAGCAGCTATTGATCTGGTGAGCTTTGTGTCCATTCTCTTCCCAGTCTGTGGCTCCAAATTCAAGTCTAATTCGGGTGAGTGAGCTGCCATCTGTTCCTCCCTTCATCCATCCACTCATTTCACCCATCAGCGTGCTGAGTGCCTCTCCTCGTCACTCCCAAGCTGGGCCCCTGCCGGGCACAGACGAATGGGCGAGCTCCCTGGCCTCAGCCAGACAGGGGAGCCAGGGCCCTAAATGGTAGTTAGCGCTGCAAGTGAGGGGCTGTGGGCACACAGTGGGCATCTAGAGGAGGGGAAGGGCTGCACGTGTCAGGGAAGGATGTGATGTCAGAACTGGGACCACAGGGAAGGGCATTCCAGGTGGAAGAGCAGCACGGGCAAAGGCCAGGAAGAGGGAGGGTGCAGGGCTTTGGGCGTGAACCATGATGTCTCAGTGCGCCAGTCCAGAGGCTCCAAGCGAAGCCCCACCACTTCTGGAAATGGATGCCAGGAATGGGCTGGGGCCGCCTCAGGCAGAGCGTGGGCTGGAAGTGACTGAGATGGGATGAGTAGCCTTGAGTCTGTGGGACTGGGACATTCCTGAGAAGAGACAGCAGTGTTCTTGGAGCATCGTCTGAAAAGCGCGTGCCTGCATCAGTGGGTGCTATAAAATGCCCTTTGCTCGATGCTGCCCCAAGGAGGAATGTTCTTGTTAGAATTGTTCAGAGGAGGCTCTGTCTTCTATTTCAAGGATGCTTCTATTTCAAAGATGATGCTTGTCTACTCCTGGTTTTGGTGCCCCGGCACCCGTGTGCCCACTCATGGGTGCGTTCACTAAGCTTGTACTGGTTCCGCTCTGTGCAGATGATAGAACTGCCAGGGTACAGTGCCTGCCCTCAGGGGACTCCTATCTAGGACGGGCGACACTGTACACGTAGATGCATGTGATCAAGGATGACATCGCCCTGCCTTGAAACATAAAACACTATGAGAGGCGGAGGAAGGGGAACACTGTCAGTCATCCGAGTGTGGGGGGTGGTGCGGGAGGAATTGGGCACAGCCACAGGCCCTTGCGGGGTGGGGAGGGTCTGGCCTATGGGACAGCGTGGGAGCCTGTCGTGGCCTCAGGGCTGGGGTCGACCCCAGTTCTTCCCACGCAGCTGTCTGTCGAGTTCCAGATCCCAGGAGACCTGCAGGATCTTGGTGTCTGTTGCAGGTCGGAGCTCCCAGGAGAGGAAGAGGAGGCAGCGGCTGAGGGCCAGCGTATTTGCCCTGGCCCTGCCGCTGAGCCTGGGCCCAGGCTGGGCTCTGTGGACCGCTGTCCCAAAGGCTTCAAGCCCCATCCAAGGGCCGCAGCGGAGGCTGCTGGGAAGCCTGCTACAGGTGAGACTGCCCAGGAGGACAGGAGGTGGGGGAATGCAGGTCCCTCTCCTCCCTACGGTCCTAGCAAATGCCCTGGGGGGTGGGGGACAGGGTTAGGCCTTGTTGGGAAGAACCTCCTAAAAGCAGAAAAGGAGGGGCCTAGGGTGCACAAGCATCTCCTTGGGGTGCTGAGTGTGTCACTGTCCCCACAGGACAATACTGAAATCTTCGGCTACCTGCTGGGCAGCATCGCAGCCTTCGGCTCCTGGGCGTCCCGGATCCCCCCACTCTCCAGAATCGTGAGGCTGGGGTTGGGACTGTGGGTCACCCTGGCAGGTCTTAGGGCATCTGGGAGCATCCTCCCAGCTTGAGGCCACCGGGGTGGAGAGGTGGCATGTGTGTACGCGTGTCTTTGGGCGTCTGTGCATTTGTCTATGTGCGCAGGCATTGGGCAGCCGGCCCCAGGGAGAGCACACCTGTATTCTCTCCATTTCTCTAGCAAATGAAAAGCATACGCCATAGGCACAATACTATGAATTTCTGAGGCACCACCCAGCAAGGATTCTCCAGGCGGCCACCAGGCAGTCATCTTCCCAGCCTCTGTACTGACCTGCTAGACTCAAGAGTGCTGGAGAAATTCGTGCCACGTCTCGGGTCACCAAGCCAGTTCTAATATTCAAGCAATAATAGAGCATCTACTGTGTGCCCAGCATCTCAGGCAAACAGAACCCTCTAGGTCCTAGTACCAACCCTGAAAAAAGCTTGAGTTTTGAGTCAGTGGATGCAGGGAAAGTGTGGCGTGGAGCGAGTGCAGGGGGTTCCCCTAGCTCTGGCTCATCCAGAGCGGCAGCAAGAGCAAGGCCCAGGGCCAGTGGCCCAGGTCCCAGCCGGGCTCTGCAAGTCACCACCCTTCTCTGGCCATCAGTGTCCTCTAAAATGGGGGTGGGTGGGCTAGAGGACCCTCCCAAAGGCTTCTCACCATAGCGGTGTTGCCTGGGCTGTGTGAGGTGGGAAACAGTGTCTCCACCTGCAGCCTTTGGGGCCAGCAGGCCAGGGGCCACCCTCCCTGGGTGGGGTGCTGCCTATTCTGGGGGTAGCGGGCCAGAAACAGGGCAGCCTGGGAACAAAACTAGAAAAAATGCTGAGGGAGATGGAAAAGTCTTTTTGAGAGTTAAAATTAAAATGGAGAAAATCAGACAACACGTGCTTTTTCTATTGAATATTTTCCATTCCTTAGCCAAGGCTTGTATTCTTTAAATATAGTCATCTAATGAGCAAACTAAGTTATGTATGATATAATTTATATTTATGTATTTAAATATCCATGCAATTGCGTATAATTGTAAATACATAGTATTTGTGTATTTAGCGTGAGTTTCTACCTGTAAAGGCTACTTATATATATATGTAAATAGTACATGTTTCCTTTTTAAAAAACCAATACTTCCGTTACTCATTCTCCAAAAATATCTTCTTGGCTTCAAAATTTCCAGAATGTTATGTGTAATTTTCCTGACTTTCCCATCTGTCCTGGTTTACCATTGGTGGTCGCAGGAAGAGAAGGGTCAGACCTTGGCTCTCCATAATTCAGTCTTCCTCATGCTCTCCCTGCTGACATTCACAAGCCCCTGTCCAGTGCTGGGGACCAGGGCACTGAGAGGGTGAGGATCTCAGCCCTGCCCTCAGGAGCCCTCTGTCTGTTGAGCAGACAGATGTGTAAGGAGCTAAGTCATGATCAGGGATAAAGGCACTCCAGTAGAGGGGTATGTCAGGTGTGAGGGACCCAGAAGAGGGAGTTACTTGTTCCCTTTAGGGTAGAGGTAGTAAGGGATGATTTCCCAGAGCTGAGTTCAAGCCAGGTTCTGAGGAATGACCAGGCATTCATTGGGCAAAAGAAGCAGCTTGAACAGAAGCTGGAAGCCCAACAGAAGTAGCACCCTTGGGGAACAGCCATGGGCAGAGGGCTTGCCCTCCAACCCCCAGGGGCCTGGGTCTTAGAATCGGCTCTAAGGGAGCTGGGGTGGAGGGTGACAGTGTCCCTCTCAGCCTACCCTTTCCTCTCTTTGTCCAGTGCCGGGGGAAGACATTTCCCTCCATCCACCTGTGGACCCGGCTCCTGTCAGCCCTGGCTGGCCTCCTCTATGCCTCAGCCATCGTGGCCCATGATCGGCGGCCTGAGTACCTGCTGCGGGCCACGCCCTGGTTCCTGACCTCCCTTGGCCGTGCAGCGCTGGACCTTGCTGTATCCACCCCAGACCCGGGGGGCTTGACTGCCTGTGTCTCATCTCCTCCTACCCCGTTGCTAGAAGGAATTCTTCCCCAGTGGCCAGGGTGGTGGTTTAAAGCCTGGGGCAGGCAGACACAATTGCAATGTGCAATTTTGTGTTTTCTTTCTTTCTTTCTTTCCTTTCTTTCCTTTCTTCCTTTCTTCCTTCCTTCCTTTCCTTCTTCTCTCTATCTCTCTATATCTT